TGTCATCATTACGTCATAATGAAAAGGCCGCTTTAAACTAATTTATCATTTTTGAAACCTTTAATCCTTTCCTGACATTGTGTGAAAAGCGCTTGCAGATCGAGTTATTCAAGACGAAGTTGTAGCCGTTTCAATGCGGCTAGGTGTGCCAGACCAAAACTACCCTGAGCCTCCTTAAACAGATCCATCAAAAATATCCTTTTGCGCATGGTAGTAATGAAAAATAGTTAGGTTAAAACGTCATGTTTTATAAAATCCACGCGTTTTTAACTGTAATATTATTCACAGTTACTAGCTCCATTAAGATTGCATGGGAGCAAAATTTTCATATCATAACTAATGTTTCCAGGTGTAAAATTCAGAGGCTTTCAGTGCAATGGCTGTCAAGAGGCGGATATCGCTGGAATGCGATGGCACTGTGCAGTATGTTCTAACTATGAGTTATGCACTTCGTGTTACATGAATGATGTGCATGATAGGAACCACCACTTTGTACGGTTCAATAATCCTAGTGATAGTTACAATGGGTAAGGAATATACGAATCCACATATTCATATCAGTCATTTTTGTTGTCGATGTCACAGCAGGTTTAAAAAGTAGTATACTAAACTGTTAGCCAATCAGGGTGCGTGTCATTTCCTGTTTTTTACATTTTCATAATATAATGACACACTTCTTTTGCGTGACCTTCAAGTTCTAACTCTTTGACTTTGACACCCCGATATGATCGAGAAACGGTTATAGGTAAATAATTCACCGATAATCTTTGACAAAGTGCCTTAAGAATGGTACTTACATTCCTTCCCTTCCTTCCTTTTTCATCTCTTTCTACTTTTTTATTCCAATAACGTTTTATTCCTTTCCTTCGTTTTTTTCTGTTCCTTCATTTTCTTTCCTTATTTTCTATCTTTCCGAATTTTCTTTTCAAATTTTCCTTTTCTAGTTTTGTATTACTTGTTCTTTTCTATTCTTCCATCTCTTTCTTCGTTTCCACCTGTTCCACTTTGTGTTTGTTTCATTACTTTTTCTCCTTTATTTTATTTTTATTACATGTAAAGCATCGAGGTTGGAGAGCGTTCCACGTCTTTCAAAATCCAATCAAGAGGAATATTCCCTGGTGCAAAAGTGCGAACAAAAAAAGACATGAAATGCTCATGGACCTCGCCAGTCTTAATTGGTGGCCAGGTGGTGAATCTGATCACATGGGATGGCATACCAAGAAGTACGGTACTTGTAAGGTGGGGAGAGGTTGGTGAGCAGATACTTCGGCTTGGTTATGAAGGAGAAGTAAGATTCCAATACTTTTATTTATAACAAAATTAATCTATAACAATTTTTTAAATGTTTATTTATACAAATTTCTCTGCAGCAGCATCCGTAATTTTGGCTACGACGACATGGTTGTTTGCAATCGTTCAAATTATTAGGAAAGGAAATGTGTTTAGTTCTGGCTAGCTTGACTAGCCATGTAGGCGTTTTTGCATGCCGATATATGTGACTTTATTGGGCCAAGAGCTGAGGGTCTGGTTAAATAGGCCAGTTTGTCCAATTTCTCCTGGGACGTATCTTTCACTGATTGTTGCTGATCGTTTGTAAATCGTCCTTGTTTTATGGGCTGTTTGGTTAGATCGCTGCATATTTCTAGTCGGTTTTACGTTTCCTATAGTTATTATAATCACACAGAAGGCGTTTATGCATGCCTTAAATATATCGTAACTTCTTATCTCCTATTGAAGCACTAAGCCACTGCTAATCCATAGGTTGATTTGGAGGTGATTCAGTTCGCACGTGGCCCTGATTTTTACCCCAATCACCTACCCATGGTGTCTGTTGGTGCACATCTAAGGTTGATCAGTAAGATCATAAGCTATGACAAAATCTCAAGTGAAGAAATAACGGACGAGGCGGAGAATGCAATCAATTACTTGGATGACTTACTGTCCACGTGTGATGTTCAAAGCAATGCTATGGTGAGTATTTATTAGATTCTCTGCCAAAATTAGATGCCTTAGAAGAAATATTACTTTTGGCTGATTCCCATTGATTTATCGCAACTTTCATTACAGCTATGCAAAGTCAAAAGAGATATACAGGAAATGCAGCTTGCATTTGAAAAATCTGCGAACATCCAAAAACCGGCATCAGTGTCTTCTAAGCAAGAGAATGAAAAAACCGAGTGTCCTCCTTGCGAAGACATGAAAGATTCTCAATCCAGTTCAACGTCAGATGTTGCCTTGGAAAACAATTCGTTTCAAAATGACAATCATTCTTCGGTGTGCACTGACACAATAGACGGTGGCAACGTCGATAATGCAAGGGTTCATCACTTAGTCAGAAAATTTTCACCTGATGGTGTAAGTATATTTGTCTTTGTCACTCTGTGAGAAATTCCTTTTATTGCTACTTTTCATTGGGTTGTGATGAGCTTACACCTATTTGTCTTAGCTCAGTCAGTCACCGCTCTCCCGGTCTTTGTTTTTTGTATTTTCATATTGCTATTTATACTACAGTGTTTTACAGCGATTTCGGCCACCGAGAAATATCGTATCTAAAATATCAGCCAATCAGTTTTAATGTCTTCGTACTTATGGCGCAATAAAATTGTTTTGCTCGAAGATAAATTCGATTCTCCGCGCTCCCATGTATGATTCTGTATTTATTTGTATATCACAGGATCAACAAGAAGGTCCAATCCCTGAAAATGAACGAAAGGAGTACGAAGTTTCAGAAGCACGGCGACATGTTTCCTGGATTATACGCAAATTTGAAAAAATGAGTGAGTTGAATTGATTTATTGTTTTCAAAATTTGCAACGTGCAATACAAAGGCATGCTGTGATGTTCAGTTATRCCCATTTCATAACGACACCGACAACACAGTCTTTTGAAAATTTGATTGACAGAAGCCAAAAAATCATCAGACATCTCCAATTATAGTTGTTTGTGTGTAGAGGTATTCTTGGGGTGCATGTTACGTCATAGCCGCCATTTTGGTTGACATTGACTAAAGAGTTGGTCATGGTGTCTTTTGTTGTGTCATTTTATTCTCATGGAAAGGAATGCAATCCATGAATTACGAAAGAAAGTGTAAAATTAAACTCTTATTTTTGGCAGCATCATATGACATGCCCAATTTCGACAAAAAGCCAATGGAACGTCCTCTGTACGTCAACAATAAGGTTCCTGCTGTATCCCCCCAAAATAAGAATGTCCCCAACAAGAGTTCTACCTTAACCTCCCAATATGAGAAGCAAGCCACTGATGATATGGGCACAACTTTTTTGGAAGAAAAGCCCAAGAAGGAAAATTCTGAATTTGAAGCCAAGGATGACATCAGTGCTGATGCAAAATATGTCAACCGTCTTGTACGCCGTTTCGAAGAAATAGAGTAAAAACCGACAGGTTTTACTATTGCTTCGCTTTATGCTAAACCATGCATTTTAATAATGATGAAAAGGTAAATTATACACCGTGAAAAGATGAAAAAACTTACTGACGTTTCGTACGCTAGTCCTTCGTCGGAGTAAAAGAGAAAAAAGTGGTAGAAAGGAGTGTATATATGATAGAATAAGACAAAAGAAACCAATGAGAGCAAGGTAGGCAAGGAAACAAAAACAAACAATCAAAGGACAAAAGAAAAGGTTAGTTGAAAGTAAAGCGTTCATTAATCCCGTTGGGACTAAGAGTGCCCAATAGGTGAATAAGCCGCATTTCTTTGGTCTTGCGACAATCATTGTTGCCGTTAATCGAAGAAAGACCGAAAACATAACTAATGACTAACCATGACTAACCAATTTGTCAATTTGTTTGTTGGTTATATCGAAAACCTTGTTTTTCAACAATATACTGGACCTAAACCTGAGTTTTTTGGACGGTATATTGATGATTGTATTGGTGCTACTTCTTGTTCKCGTAATGACTTAGATTCTTTCATCTCTTTTGTTAACTCTTTTCACCCTGCCTTAGRCTTTACGTGGGARGTTAGTGAAACATCAGTCACTTTCCTTGACATCTTGCTTAGTGTTAATGACSACCGTCTTAGCACTAGTGTCCATTACAAACCTACTGACTCTCATTCTTATTTACTCTACTCGTCTTCTCMTCCTAAGCAMACTCTTAACGCTATTCCGTTCTCGCAATTTCTTCGTCTTCGTCGTTTGTGTAGTGATGATCTTGATTTTTCTGTTAAATGTTCCGAGATGCGTTCCTTCTTCCTTAAGCGTAATTATCCTGCTCATGTTATTGATCGCGCCATTCGTAAAGTTTCTA